GGTGAGTGGTAATCTGTTGTATGGAGACAACACAGTTTGTTTGTCCATTGACCTGTTGGTGGGCATTGGGGTCATTTCCAGTCCTTAGCCATACAAACGGGCTGCCATGAAGGTTCCTTCCACAAGATTTGAATGGAAGAAGTTGCACTATGAAAAAAAAAGGTAGGCGGGATGGTCCCCAAAGTCACAGGCTTTCAAGGACCTGGAAGCTGTGATGGGCCACGCCGGGGAGTCCAGGACCAAGGGAGCTGACTTTCTGAGCTCCTCCTGGTGCCGAGCTCCTGGCCGCATTGGCTTGTTTACTCACAGTGTGTCTGTGAAACAAGTGCCATTGCTATTCCCAGTTTACAGACAAAACGGCTGAGACACAGAGATGAGGACGTGGCTGTCCCATGACACACGTCAGGGTGTGGCAGCACGGTGACTCAGACCCCAGGTCTGGCTGCCTCTGAGCCCAGGCTGGTAGCCACCGCAGGCCTGAAGAGAACCAGCTCTGGTGCCTGGCCTCCTGCGCATCACTGTGGGGTTGGGGTTGATATCTGCGATGGATCTCACCGTGCGGGGCCCACTGGAGACACCGGGTCAAGCCTGGGATGGTGGGAGGCCCGGTGGGGAGCTGGGGCAGGAGCGGAGGCAGGAAGTGAGTCGGCCACGTTACCGAGGGGCCCCCGGTCCTGGCCCTTGTTGTGCAGAGGCCACTGGACTTCCCATCTCTGTCCTCCCCTATGATGTTCAGACTCTCTGTGAGGTAGGATCTACCGTCTCCATTTCACAGATGAGAAAACTGAGGCTCAGGAGAATGCATCAGTTAGGATTCTGTCAGCTTCAAGCAACAGAAAAGCCAGCTGAGAGTGGCTTAAACAATTGAGACGCCTATCTGATCAAAAACTTAAAGTTCTAGGTTCGGCAAGCTCCAGCTGGGTAACCCAGGGCCTCCCAGGCCTTCCGGACCCAGGCCCTTCCACTAGTCTCTGGCTCCAGCCTCTCCTCCTGCTCATCCCTCCCTCACGGCCCCAAAATGGCTGCAATGTTTCCGAGGCCACAAGCCACAGAGGCCCCAGAGGCAAACAGAGAACTCTCTCCTCCCTTGTCACCCCTTCGAAGAGGGAGGCGACCCTCCCAGCAGCTCCCAGCAGACTTCCCCACACTTCTCATTGGCCAGAATTGCCTAAAGCAATCACGGGGTAGGGGAATGACACCTTCTGTCAGGAGTCCCCTCCCAGCAGGAGGCCAGGGGCGCTGAGATGGGGGCCAACAGCATCGGGGTTTTGCTTGTGCGGAGAAGCGGCCTGCCTCAGAGAAGAGACTTGCTCAAGGTCGCACAGCTGGTCAGAGGCGGAGCAGAGCCCTGAAGCACCCAGAGGTGTAGGGCCCTGCCTGTTATCCTCTGACATCTTTACTGTCCTCATTCCATAGAGGGGAAAATGGAGGCTCCTATTGGTGGAACCCACGAGCCTCCTTCGGCCGCCCCGTGGCTCCATTAGGACCCTCTGCGTAATAATAACATTAATACTTTATGTGTCAACCATATATTATCTTGTCATCTACAAGGTAAGATGCTATCATTTTTCTCATTTTACAGAGGGAGACACAGAGCCACAGAGAGAATAAGAAACTTGCCTGAGGTCACAAAGCCAGAAAGTGCTATTTGAACCCTGTCTGGTATTTCAGGAGCCCACATACCAAAAGGTTAAGGGTAGACCCTGGGGGAGGCCCAAGGCAGCGAGTCGGGGGGGAGGGGGGGTGAGGCAGCCCCCAGGCCAAATAGAGAGAGCCAAGCGGTAACTAACAGGTGAAAGCCAGCTACTTGGGAAGCCCTGTGGCTGAGGAATGGGGCCGGGACCAGGCCAGCTGGCAGGCCCAGCCGAGCCTGCAACACGATCCCAGGAGCAGTCAGCCCCGACCCGCCTCCCCTCTCCGGTTCCAGGTCTCCCACCCAGGCCCCTGCAGGAGCCTGAAGGAGAGATTCCGGTTTGATGGGCAACAAGTGCTCACAGGACAACCCAGCAAACCACAGACGCCGACAGCCCAGAAGAAGCTCACGGAGGTTTTGGTTCAGTGCCCCATTTTCCAGACAGGGAAACGCCGGCCAGTCTCGCATAAAGGGCTTCGTTTGTTTTTGTCTGTTTAATTCACTGCCTCATCCCTGTTGCCTAGAACAATGCTTGGCACATAGTAGGCATTCAATAAACATTGGTAGGATGAATGACTGACTCATCAAATGAACGTAGGTTTTCCGAGGCACTTAGCATTGCAACAGAAAGCTGGCTGTCAGAACAGAGCCTCTCCTCCAACCCCTCACGGCCTCATGGCTGGGAAGACGGGGGGTCAGACTTGAGGGTACGGGCTCTCACACACACACAGGCTCCCAGGGGCACAACATTTGATGCATTTCCCCCAACACCAGACACACAGCCTCTCTTTAGTTACAAGGACAGAACTCACTCTGCCCGCTGAGGCGTAAATCAGAAGCAGGGATCCTGGCAGGTCACGGTGCCACGCAAGGGCAGGAAAGGCAGCTGGAGCTCCGAGCCAGAAACAAACCAGAAAATAAAAAATGACGTTACTCGCCACCACCTTGCCCCTCTGGTCTGCCCACCCGCTTTTTTCTTCCCTCCCCTGATCATCAGCTCTCGCCGGGCTCCTGGCTGCCTCAGGCTGGGCTTTCTGGGTCCTCTCAGTTCAAAGAACCAGCAGAGACTGGGCATCAAGGTCTCCATCTCAAATTCTAGGAGCCTGAACTTGACTGGCCAGCTGTGGCTGGGAGCCGCCTGGGTCCCGGGGCCACAGGCCACAACCCGAGAGGAGCAGCCCCTGAGGAGGAGGATGTGGGCGGCCTCTTTAAAAGGAATGTGGAGGGTGGAAGAAGGATGCCTTCCCATCCAGCCAGCTGGAATCCCTTCCCAGCCCCCATCCTTCAGACACGAAGCCTTGACCATCTCCCGTGATGGAGCTCTTCCTACCCACACAGCACAATGTCACCCATTGTCCCTTATTACTCATTATTGGTTGAGGGCGCTTAAGTCATCCTTTCTTTCGAGCTAGCCATTGATCATTTGCTCACGTCTGTGGGGAAGTATTTGCGCAAGATTAAGTCAAGGCCACCCGACTGTTGCCTCATTCTGCTTCCTCGGTTGCTATAAACAATTTTTACACCTTGCAAGTCCAAACCCCATATAAGAGAGGATCTGATTGGTTCTTCCACTTGCCAACTTGTCATGGCCGCCCCTATTGGCCAGAGCATTCACACTGGCCCCCTCCCCCGTGGGTGGCCGGCCAAGCCTAGAATGGCTGCCTGACGACAGCGGCCCGCCCCTCCCGGGTCACTGGTGGTTGGGGTCATTCTTAGCTTTGGTTTCTGCAAACGTTTTCTCTGCGGATCCTGATTTTCCTGTGAGCGCTTCCCTGCGCTGCTACCCCCGCCCCAATTCTTTGTTCATTGTTTACAGATTCTTATTCTTCGCCTTCCGGGCGTTTCCCCACCGTTTTCCTGCTGATTGCACATTAGGACACAGCTCTGCTGCGTACATCCTTTGGGCAAGTCCCTTCCCCTCTTTGACCCTCAGTTTCCCCATGTGGATATTGGGGTTGGTAATTCCCACCTCACAGGGTTGTTGAGAGGGTGAAAGGAGTCCGTGTATGTGGGAGCTCCTGCCATGGAGCTGAACACCCAGCAAACTCTGTGTCTGTCCTTCCTTTTGGCTTCAGCCCTCACTTAAAGCTGTCAAAGACCCAGGGAGTCAGAGCTGGACTAGGAGAGAGAAGAGGCCTGAGTTCAAACCTCCGCTGGGCATCTAACTTGCTGTGAAAGTCCCTTGCCCTCTCTGGGATCAGTTTCTTCATCTGTCCAGTAAGGATTGGACCACAGGAGCATTTCCCAAACTGCGAAACAGGGGTTAACAGCACACCATCAGCAAAGAGAGAGAGAGAGATTGAATCTTTGAGCGAACATGTTGGGGAAAGCCACTTAACACCTATTAGAATAATGAAGGCTCTGAGGCTGTGCTATCCAATGTGGTGGCCACCAGCCACATGTGGTTATGGAAACTGAAATTTGAAATTCAGTTCCTCAGTCTCAGCAGTCACATTTCAAGTGCCCAGGAGACCCGATGGCCAGCGGCACCGTATTGCCCAGAAGGGACCAGAGCATTCCCTTGATGGCAGAAGGTGCTGTTTGGTGCTGCAGGTGGAGGGGCCTGCTTCTCTTTAATCCAGAACTTCCCACGCACATTTGACCGCACAACCTCTGTGGAGCATCTATGGCGGACCGTAAGAACTAAGGCTGTTCCCAGGAACATGGTCTGGAAGATGTTGGGTTAAAGGATTGCTCAGGGCCCTTCCAACGCCAAGAGTGGAGGAGGGGAAATGTTCTGGCAACCGAATTCCTCTTAGGGGAGGGAGCTGCCTGTGCTCAGCAGTCCTCTTGGCTCAGAAGACATTGTAACTGTGGGGAGAGAGCCCTTGATGCGCTGGGACACGCTGGGGAGGAGGGGAGGCAGAGAACTTAACTGGTCAGGGTGATAAAGGAAGTGGAATTTGGAGGGGAGATGAGAGAGCACATGAGAGTGGTTGGAAGGTGGGAGAGGTTCTGGCAACCTGGTGGGAAGATGGAGCCAAGGCAGGAGAGGGGCCAGGGTGGCTGAAGGCTCTGAGAAGAGAGAGCACTGATGCTCCATTTTAAATCATCTGTACAAGCTGCATTGCAATGCCAGTGCCCTCGGCCCTCACCCGTGAGTCAGCAAATGTCTCCCGTGACTTCACACATGACCCTGGGGAAAGTTAAGAAAAAAGGGCTGCGTTCTACCAGAGGGCTGCCAGGGTTGTAGAAAGGGCCTTCAAGGGAGTTGAGAGCTGGAGGAGACGGAGAATTCAGCAGAAGCAGGTGCCAGGGAAGGAGGACTAGAAGAGGTTGACTAGCAGAAATGAAGCCCCTCCCTAGGAGGCCCCAGGCACACTGGGAGGTGAAGTGGTTCTAAAAACATGGCCCCCAAATTCTTTGACACTCCTCCCATTGAGAGGTGGCGTTCTGGGTGCCCCCCCCCCCTTGAATATGAGCTTTGTGACTGCTCAACCAATGGAATATGGTGGAAGTGACTCAAATCTTAAGAGTCTGGTAGGTTCCACTTTCTATTTCTGGGGCTAGTTATTCTTGAAATCCAGCTGCCATGCTGTGCCCAGGGTACATGAAGAGGCCGTGCGTGGATGTTCTGGCCAACAGTCCCAGCTGCCATCCCGGTTGACAACCAGTGTCAACTGCCAGACACGGGGGTGAGGAAGCCTGTGGTCACTCCAATGCCATTCACCTTTTATTTGCGACCACATGAGCAAGAACCCCTCTTTGAGCCCAGTCGGCCCCTAGAACTCTGAGAAAGAATAACAACATGGCATTGTTTTACACTACGAAGTTTTGGTTGATTCATTTTGCAGTGATAGTTTAACTGGAACAGGAGACAAGCCATAAATCTCATCACAGGGGGACAGCCCATGAGAGCCAATTTTTCCTGAAATCTTAAAGCATAGGGGAGCCCTCCACAAGCTGTTATACCTGGAAGATGACAGGGGTGACAGCTGGACGAACTTGCTGTGAGACAGTTTCTGCTGTGACCTTGAGGAGACTGTCCAGGGGAGAGAGGGAAGGGTGTCAAAAATGACTCCAAGTTTCTGTCTGGGGCACCCGTCCTCAGTGACAGCACGAGCTGCCACCGGGAGGAGGGGAAGAGGATGCCAGGTTTGGAGACAGATGATGAGGCCAGTTTTGTTGTTGCATTTGCGAAGTGTTTTCTGTAAATACCAGAAGCTGCTGACAGATGAGTGAAAAACAGGAATCCTTGCTGGAAGCTTCAGACCCTCTTCCCAAAGCAAAGAGACGAGGAATCCCAAACCTCATTCATAAATACCCACACGAGCTTCTTCCTTCGCTCATGCGTAAGCAAAGCATCCAGACAGGAGCATCCAGACAGGAGCATCCAGACAGGTGCATTCAGACAGGAGCATCCAGACAGGAACATCCAGACAGGAGCACTCAGACAGGAGCATCCAGACAGGAGCACTCATACAGGAGCACTCAGACAGGAGCATCCAGACAGGAACATCCAGACAGGAGCACTCAGACAGGAGCATCCAGACAGGAGCACTCATACAGGAGCACTCAGACAGGAGCATCTAGACAGGAGCACTGAGACAGGAGCATCCAGACAGGAGCACTCAAACAGGAGCACTCAGACAGGAGCACTCTGTGTGACAGCACAGACCTGGAGCCGGCCTGCGGGAGGTGGAAGCCAGCCCTGCTCTTACGAGCCGCCTGGCCTTGGGCAGGTGACATAATCCCTCTGTCTCTCAGTTGCCTTATCTCTAAATGGGGACGACAGTACCTGTATTATTGTCAGGATGAAGCGTGCGTGCATGGAAAACTCTCAGAACAGGGCTTGCTGCACAAGTCCGTATTGCGTGTCAGCTATTCATCCTCAACAGACAATTTTCGAGCGTCTGCTGTGTGCCGGAGCCCGCGTTGCACGGAGGACGCAGCAGTGCACGGACAGACTCAGGCCCCGCCCTGTGGAGCACATGTTCTAGCCCTTCTTCGGCCCCTGGCCCTCTGTGTCCTCAGGTTTTCTTTCAGCTCTATTGTCCCAGGGGGTCCTCAGAAAGGCCCCATGAGGTTGGCACAATGACCTTATCCCCATCTGACAGATGCAGACACTGAGGCCGGGAGAGAACTGATGTTCTCTTTGCACAGAGCCTCGATCTGCTGTCACAAATCTGTGTGTTCCTTCAACAAAGGCACTGTGACACACGTGGTCCAGAGGCCCGTGTCTCCTGAGGGCCAGCTGTGTTTCCTCTGCCTGGAAGCCCTCCAGCAAATGAAATCTCAACTGGGACCAACCTCTCGCCCCAGAGCAGGGACTCTCTGCAGCCCCTCACGGCAGATGTTCTGGAGCCCCAGGTGGGGGCGCTGTGCCCGCGCTGCCCGTCTTCCTGCGTGGGTTCCTGGGGGAGGGGGGTGTTTTTCCACTTGATGTCACCTGATATCTTCTTCACAGCAGCCTGAAGTGCCATCATTTATGATTCATTCCCTCAGGTGAAGTGGTTGCTGCCAGGAACATCTTTTAATTTCTCAAATTCCCCTGGGATGGGCTGCGAACACCTTAGTGAGCTGAGGACTGGTCTTAGAGATGATCACTGTCTTCGAGAGATGACAAAACTCTGGTCCGGGAGGAAGAGTGACTTGCCCAAGGACACATAACCAGTCAGTGGCAAAGCCAGGACGAGAAGCTGGCGTGCTCCCCCTGCGTCCCTGCCCTGGATGGGAGGGACAGACGGACACACGATGCTCCCGTGCGTCTCGGGCTGCTTGGCAGCCTGCACGGAGCTTCCCCATCAGAGCTCACTCGATTCAGGCGCCCCGGTGGGCCCGCCTCCTCACTGATGTGGGACGTGGACAGGAGCTGTCTGGGGCTGCCGCAGCCATGCTCTCTTCTTCCGACAACAGAGCCTGGGTTATTATTTAGGGAACTAGCCTTAGATGCGGTTCACGGGTCCCTGCTCCCGGATCCCTGGAGTGGCCCCGGGTTCTGGCCTTTCTGAGGCCTAGTTTAGCGCCTCCTCCCATTCTGTGGGCAGCCCCAGATCCTCCCGATGCAGCCCCTTTTTTCTTGTTTCGCTTCACTAAGCCAAAGCAGGTCTCTGTCACTTGCTTTTAAAGAGCTTTAATTGACACACCCGCTCCCGGATGAGGAGACGAGGTGAGGCCAGGAGAGGTGAGTAAGATGGAGGGCTGGGACCGCAGCCCCGTCTCCTGCCTCCCAGCCCTGCCTCTGCCTTGCACCACACTGCTGACCTGAGAGGCTGGGTCCTGAGGAAACAGGAAGGTAGAGAGGGTGAGTGAACAGGCCTGAACAGAGAGAGCAAAGCGGTTAACTGAGAGGTTTTGGAGTCAGACAGACCTGAGTTTGAATCCCAGCTGTGTCACTTCCTAGTTGTGGGGTCTTGGACAAGCCATTTCATCTCCTCAGAGCCCACCTTCCCTCAGCTGTACCTTTTTATAGACACAGATCTACAGGAATACAGCTGGTGAGCAGAGCAGCAGGTAGATTTTAGCCTTCACATGCCTCTCTTGGTTGGGTCCCTTGTGCAGTGAACAACCTGGACAGCTGTACCAGAAAGCCCTACAGATAGATAATACTTACCTTATATGGATGCTGTGAGAACTAAATGAGATAATGGATGTAAAATTTTTGGCACTGTGCCCAACACTTACTAAGTGCTCAATAAATAGTAACTAAGTATTGTGACTCAGTCTGGCAGGTCTCTGGTAGTCTGTGACATAACTGCAAGTCCTCAGCTCCTCCCTTTCTCACCACCCACCCCCAAACCTGCTAACCTTTCCTGAATGGCCTCAGTGACCTGCCTCTCCCTCCAGGGCTCTGCAGGTTTGGCCGGCCCACCAGGGAACAGGGTTCTGGCCGGGTTTAGGACACCGTGGCTTTCAGTTTGGCGAGGGCCCCAGATATGCCAGGGCCCAGCTGGCAAGTCCTTCCTGCTCCAAGGTTCTGAAGGTCCCAGCGGCCGGCCCTGCCCTCCAGTCTCCTCCCTCGGACCCGAGGCAGATGGAAATCAGAATGCAGTGGATCTTCAGGGTCCAGCCGCAGCAGGCCCAGAAGCCCCCATGATAGCCCAGGCCCCTCTGACCTCACCCCTTCTCTCTGGGCAGGTCCCAGCAGCAGAGACAGGAATCGCCGGACCCCGGGGCCTCCGGGAGCCACGTGTGCCAGCGCAGCGCCTGCCAGCTCCCAGGCTGACCTCACAATGGCTCCTTTCACCAGGAGAGGAGCTGGCCCGGCCCGGAGCCTGCGGGGGGATGTCCCAGGCCCCAGGGCGTGGGGTGGGAGGTTGGAAACTGGGGAATGGGCTGCTGAGGCTGGGAGAGCTGAAGGATCTCAGCGCCACATCCACCACCCGATGTCAAGGTGACCGCCCCACAACCGGGGCCACAGGAGATCAGATTCCCTGGGACCCCAGGGCGGGAGGGGTGCAAGTCAGTGTGGGAACAGATGGAGGGAAAGAGTTAGTCATGGGGCTCTGGGGGGAGGGGAGGCTGGGCCCTCAGCCCACGCTCTCACTGGCATCTGCAGGCCCATAGCAAGAGGGTGACGTGGTCTTGGTCCTTGGAACAGCCGTTCCAGTAACAACAGGGGCATCCCAGCCAGGCTTCTTCTGCATCTTCCCCTCCTCTCCGTGCCATCTGCCTCAGGCCTCCAGGATCTCTTAAAGGGTCTTGCACCTTCCTACAAGTATCTCTGCCCCCATCCGCTCCCCCTTCTCGACTCCTAAAGCCCAAATCTGATCTAGGCTGCTCAGTCCCCAAATTAAAGCCTTCACTGGCTCCCCACTGTCCAAAGGACCAGGAGCTCAAGGTCCAGACGGTCATCTTTGCTCACCCAGCACCTGTTCCTTTTCCTTCTGATCTCTAAATGCCTTTATTCCTGGGAAGCCATCCCTGCCCCACTCTCAGTCCATGTGGTTTGGGTGGGGCTCATGTCTCAGGCATGTGACCCCAACCTAGTCAATCAGAGTCTTCTACTCCACCTCCGCACAGGGACTGCTTCAGGCGTAGTCTTATGACCCAAACCAGTCCAGGGAGTTCCATTTCCAGATCCTGTGTTTAAACATTTGGAGAAATGAATGTTTCCTCCTACTGGGCTTGGAACTGGGAGAGTGTCAGCCTGGAGCTGCCCGAATTTGGAAAGGGCCTGCTCCAGAGTGAAGCCAACACAGGGAAAAGCAGAGAGATGGAGGACCAAATCCTGATGGCATCATTTGAAATCCTAGATCCAGCTGTACCTGAAGCAGATAAACTAAATTTTGCAGTTTCTTGAGTCAATCAATTTGCTTTTCATTTAAGCCTCTCGAGATTGTGTTTTCTGTCTCTTGAACCCAGGAGTTCTGACCACTACAGAGGTCCTCCCTCCTCTGGCCTCAAACCACCTCTGCGGTCCCACCTGCCTTGCTCTGCCTTGCCACTCCCCCAAACGCCTGTCCTCAGCCTGAAACGTCTGTCTCCCTTCGCTCTAAAACCCCACCCATCCGTCCGGGAGCTCACGGCCCTTCACATGGGACAAGAGGCCGCTTCGGAGTTGGACAGACTCGAGTGCAAGTCCTGGCTGTTCCGTGCGGCACTTGAGTCACGTGCAGCAGGTCACAGAACTTCCTTGAGCCTCAGTTTCCTTAAAATGGCAAACGCACGGTGCTTACTATGTGCTAGGTATTGTTCTAAGTGCTTTACGAGTCCCGGCAGTCTAGTTCTTTCATCTCCCCCGGGGGACGGAGGCCCTGCTGTTACCCTCATTCCAGCAAGGGGGAAACTGAGGCCTGGAGAGGAGGCGCTGGGGTGGGACTCAGACGCCGGCTCCAGTGTCAGGGCTCTCAACACCCGACGGTCTTGCCCCTCGCAAAATGGGGGTGATACTAGGACCTTCTTCGTAAGGTGGTTGTGAAGTTCCACCTTCACCTGATGTGCGTGGAGGGTCTGGCAGAGCTTGAGCACTGCTGTGACCCCTGGGGTGTCCTCAGCCCGAGTCACCCAGTCTTCCCAGAGAATCCTGGATCTCGGGGTCAGGCTGGAGGGAGGGGCTGCGGCTGATCCAGGACGGTGTCCCCTTGGCTCTGGCTGCTTCACGGGGCTCTCTCTGCTTGGCAGAAGGACTCCGCTCACAATGCTCGTTTGTTCAGACTGGTTCGCTGGCTTCTGCATTCTCTGCATGCACTCTCCTGGGCCCAGAAGTGATGGAGGGGGACGGCACAGGCTCCAGCCAGGCCAGGGTCGGGGGTGGCAGGATAATCTAGTTTCTGGAAAGCCCAGCTCGGCCGCTGTGAGAACTTTCCCTGGGCCTCCCATCCCCTCACCTGTGAAATGGGGACGGTGATGGTACCTGCTTTGTCTGGTGGCGTGAGGATGAAAGAAAATGATGTACTTTGCAGTACGTGTTGTGGGTGCCCAATAGAGGACGCTTATTAGTTAATTGTGTCATTCTGCTTTTTGCTCTGCCAGGCTGCCTGGGGTTCAGTCCCAGCTCTACCGTTTCCTGGCAGTGTGACCTTGAGCAAGGTACTTAACCTCTCTGTGCTCAGTTCCTCACTTGTAAATCGGGGACTTGACTGTAGGTGTCCCTTGCCAACAGACTCCCAGGCTCCGCGCCCCTCTCCTGATCAGGCCCCCTGGCAGGGAGGCCACATGGCCTTTCTTTAAGGCCAGCCGCTGTGTCCTTGTTCGTTTTCACTGCTGTGTCCGCAGAACCTGGCTTGGACCTGGCACACGGTGGGCCCTCACTAAATGTGTACTGAATTTGTGTTTTTCGTGAAACAGACCCTGACTGGGTGCCTCTTGTGTGCCGGGCGCTCTTCTGAGTGCTTTACAGATGTGAAGACGTTTGCCCCTCACAGCCTCGGAGGAGGGACTATTATTACCCACATTTGTTAACAAATGAGGCAAAGAGTTAAAGTAAGGTGCTCGGAGATTCAAACCCAGGCCTCCAGCTGCAGGTTCATCCTCTGAGCTTCTCCGGCCCCGCCCCCTCTGTTCAGGGGTTGGGGTGCACTGGGTACCCACCCATCCACGGGCATCCATTCCTCATCTCTTGGGATGGGATTCTCCCATCCCCGGGGTGAGAAGCGGGGGCTGGCTGTGGGATGTGGGGAGCTGAGCAACGGGCCCAGCCTCCAAGGGACAGCCTGCCAACAGCTGCCACGCCGCCAAGGCCAAGAAAGGCCTGGGCGCAGCTCACATCCTGCTGTTCTTCCAGAGCCCGAGAGAAGAACAGGAAAGGCAGAGAGGACTGGCGACAGCGCTGACTCACCGGGAGGTGGGGCGGGCAGCCGGATCCGGAAGGGCAAGGAGTGCGGCCAATTCATCCTTCTTTCCTTGGACATTCACTGGAATAAGGCTGGGCCCTGAGTCAGAGGCCTGAATCCACCCAGCCCAGAGCCTTGAGAGGCTCACAGGCCAGTGAGGCAGGAAAACGTGTTCAACTGAAACCTGGTCCCCGCGTTCCTCTAGGAAGATGAGGGTCTTTGCACGGCCAAGTGCATCGATGGCCAGCTTGGGTATGGAAGCCACAGCCCCTCCCTGCCATGGCCTGGAGGCCTGGAGGGCGGCTGGGAGGCCTTGGGTAAGGAAATAAGAGGAGACTTGAGACCTGCCAGCAAGAGGAGTGGATGAGAGCAGAGAAATGGAACCAGAGGAAAGAAGCAAACTGTCTAGATTCCAGAACTTCCTGGGGTGGAAAGTTTGCTGGACACGTAAGAAGAAGGATATTTCAGACTCAGATTTCTGTCGCTCAGTGGTGGCTTCCCTCCACTGTCAACACCAGCCTTCCAGACCACGCGCCACGCCCCAGCCTGGTCAACGCTGAGGGTGGGAAGGGTGGGGTGGTGTTCCAGGAGTGTGAGGGGGTGTGGACAGCACACATGGGAGACTCCAGGCATCTGGAGAATTTGGTGGATGCAGCTCTGGAATGAGACGGCTGCCTGTGAGCTGCGCTTCTCGCCAGGCTGGCACTGGGGGTTTGAGTCCTGTGGCGAAGACCGCAGACTTTACAGCCAGATTATGTGGGTCTGACACACTTATTAATACGTGTGTAATCGTAGGTCCTGTGTAGACTCTCTGAGCTTTGTTTCATTTCCCTATTGTAAAATGGGCCTAATAACATAAAGAATAATGTGTGTTTTCAGCACCTACAATTTGCTAGGCACTGATATAAGTACCTTCTGTGGATTATCCTACCTAAATCCTTACTAGGATTAAAACCCTAGGAAATAGGTGCAATTTTCAGATGAGGGAACTGAGGCATAGGAGGGTTAAGTGGCTGGTCAAGTTTATGCAGTAGTAGAGTTGGGGAAGCCCAGCAGGTCTCTCTCATCCAGAAAATGTGGTTAACCATGACCCAGATCACATCTACCTCTGAAGGTAGCTGCGAGTGTTAAATGAATTTATGCATGTAAAGCTCTCAGAATAGCATCATGGCGCGTAGTAAGTGCTCAGTAAATTAAATGTGAGCTCTTGTGCTGTGATCAGTGAAGATGTGAACATGCTCAGTAAATTAAATGTGAGCTCTTGTGCTGTGATCAGTGAAGATGTGAACACCCGACTCAATTGGCTTAAATGTTAAGGGAATTTATTTCACCAACAGGAAATTCTGAGGCCTTCCTGGCCTCAGGATTGATTGAGTCAGTGGTTCAATGATGGCATAAGGACCCAAGAGCTTTCTGTTTCCTGCTCTTCTTGTTGGCTTCAGTCCAAGGGTAGCTGCCCTCTTGGTGGCAAGATGGCTGCCAGCAACACCTGGAGCATCATACATCCTTACTCTTCCCCAGCAAGAGAAAGAAGCCTTCCCTTCCGTCTGATTGGGCGAGCTGTGTCACATGGGTCATCCCTGGCACCAAGACAATGCCAGGAGCGGATTGCCTTCACTTTCTTTGGCTCTACCCCTGGGGCTGAGATGGGGGCGAGCTCTCCCAGACTAGGGGTCTGTCCCGAGGAGGGCTCTGTTGGGAAGGTGCAAGGGGTTTGTGGATGCAACTTTAAAGAACTGGTGACCCTTGTCTCTTGGGGGTTTGGGGGGACCCCTGGGTTACACAAATAATTTCAGCATAGTGTGCTCATCCAGTGTCTGGTGGTGCCCGCGCACAGGAGGAAGAGGTTTGTTTGGATAGAGGGTGGAGGCGTGTCCGTGGGAGGATCCCTGGAGGCTTCCCTCTGAATCCTGAAATATGAGAAAGACTTCCTCAGCTGGGAAGGCTGGGAAAAGGGTCAGAGGTCGAGGCATGAGCAAAGACTGTGGGCTTTGGGGAAGCTGGGGCTGGAGGGCAGAGGAGCCTGGGAGGCGGGGAAGGTGGGGCCAGGGCCCTGGAACACAGAACTCCCTCCTCCCTGCCTCACTCTGGGCCGAGAGGATCAGAAGAATAACGGCTCACATCACTGAGCGCCGACTGTGTGCTTGCACTTCATGGGCACTGAATCCTCACGACAGCTCCACGAGGAAGTCCTGCCACTGTCCCATTTTACAGAGGGGGAAAGTCAGACGCAGAGAGATTAAGTAACTTGCCTAAGGTCACACAGCTGGTAAGGGCGAAGCTGGGCTACAAATCCAGACAGTTGGACCCCAAAGCCAGGACTTTCAGCACGCCCTGTACCTCCCTCTCCAAGCCCCCATCCCAGGAGGGGGAGAGCAGCAGGGAGGAGGGAGAGAAGCCCCATCAGGTCAGCTCCTCATTCTATGAGTCCCTGCAGCGGGTGGCGGCTGCAGCAGGGGGACCTGCAGCGGCAGACAAAGGCGGGAAGCCGGGTTTTGTCTCTTGTGGGCAGCGGGGTGGCGCCCCTCCCGAGGCCTGAGAGATGGCGCAGGGGGGCGGGATGGGGGCGAGGAGCACGGGGACTGATGGGCCTAAGCTGGGAGACCTCGCGTCAGAGGACTTGAGCTCTCCAAGTCTCCGTTCCCTCGTCTGAAGTAATGGTAATTCTCATTATTTCAAATATCTCGCCATTAGGAGGGGGCAGATGAAACGGGGCAAAGAATGCAAAGCTGCTTTTTGCCATGTCATTCAAAGGTTATTTGTTTTTCTTGTTAAAGCACAAACCCTGGGTTGAAAACGTTAGCAGTGATTGCCTTTGCAGCCTAGCTTTTTGTTCTGCTTTTCAGCTCCGCCCCCCCCCCCCCCCCAATATTCTCTACAATGAACATATTCTACTTTTTAATGCATTCCCCCCGGAAAAGAGAAGAATATTAAAATTCATTATTAAACTTCTTCCATGGGATATAGCTACATAAACCTATGCATATATGCATAGAACGTCTTTTGAAGGCAACCCAGGAAAATGATCCAGCG